CGCCACTGCACTCCAGCCTGGGCGGCAAAGCAAGACTCCGTCTTAAAAAAAAAAAAAAAGAGAGTGGCGCATAGACTCTCCCACTGAATAGCAACCAGACCCTACAGTAAGTTACTTAACCTCTCTGTACGTCAATTTACTTATCTGTAAAATAGGGATAGTCAAAGTACTACAAGGCCGGGCACGGTGGCTCACGCCTATAATCCTAACACTTTGGGAGGCTGAGGAGGCAGCAGATTACGAGGTCAGGAGTTCAAGACCAGCCTGGCCAACATGGTGAAACCCCGTCTCTACTAAAAATATAAAAATTAGCCGGGCATGGTGGCGGGCACCTGTAATCCCAGCTACTCGAGAGGCTGAGGCAGGAGAATCGCTTGAACCCAGGAGGCAGAGGTTGCAGTGAGCAGAGATTGCGCCACTGCACTCCAGCCTGGGCAACAGAGCAAGACTCTGTCTCAAAAAAAAAAAGTACTCCAAAGGGTTGTTGGAAGGTTTCAATGTGTTTGTACTAGAAAAACACCCCCAACAGCACCAAGTCATTGAGATGCCTCATTTCATGTTATCACGAGCTGCCCGTGATTCCCCTGTGACGAAGGAGGACGTCTGGGCTGTTTGTACTTTTTCTAACCCCTACCCCAGGCCTCCTCTGCATCATCAGAGGGTCTAGAGTAAGTCCAGCCTCAGGCCAATCAGGTAGGTAGAGGCTAGGGATAGGAGGAGCCAAGTTTCATCCCTAGGAGGACATCTGTTCCCAGAACCAGCAACACCACACAGAAATAGATCAGAGAGACAAAGATGCTTTTGAAGGCAAAAATAGGCTAGGCCAGGCACAGTGGCTCATGCCTGTAATCCCAGCACCTTGGGAAGCTGAGGTGGGAGGATCACTTGAGCCCAGTAGTTTGAGACCAGCCTGGGCAATGTGGTGAGACCCCATCTCTACAAAAAAATTAAAAATTAGCTGACCGTGGCATGCACCTGTAGTCCCAGCTACTTGGGAGGCTGAGGCAGGAGGATCACTTGAGCCTGGGAGGTTGAGGCTGCAGTGAGCCAAGCTCGCATCACTGCATTCCAGCCTGTGCAACAGAGTAACACCCTGTCTGTCTCGATAGTAAAATAAATAAATAAATAAATAAATAAATAAATAAAATAAAAAAGGCCTTCCAAAAGCATGGAAAGACATTTCTTCTTCAGATTAGTATGGTTGTTTTGGGTTTTTTTTCAGGCAGGGTCTTGCTCTGTTGCCCAGGCTGGAGTGCAGTGGTGAGACCATGGCTCCCTACAGCAGTGACCTCCTGGAGTCAAGCAATCCTCTTTCCTCAGCCTCCAGAGTAGCTGGGACTACAGGCACAAGCCACCATGCCTGGGTAAATTTTTTATTTTTTGTAGAGATGGGGTCTCCCTATATTGGCCAGGCTGGGCTCAAACTCCTGGCCTCAAATGATCCATCTGCCTCAGCCTCCCAAAGTGCTGGGATTACAGGCCTGAGCCACCGTGACCGGCCCGCACCCAGTGAATCTTAATATATCTATATCCCAGGCCCAACACAAGGGTTCCTAAGTGAATACAATGAACAAGTGAACTGCCAATCCTGAGTACTTCACAGTCACTGAAGAAGAAACTTAAATTCAGTTTCCAACCCCAGGAGACAGCTAGCTGGCTTCCCTTGGGCATCAGACATTGGAGAAGGACGCCCAAATGCCTCTGAGGCCTCAACCAAAAAGCCTGACTAATGCTGAGACAAGAGGCAGTTCTACGCAGTGGCAGCCACACAGAAGCTCTGCAGTCACCCCCGAGTCCTCATCCCAGCTCCACCATCCACCTGCTCTGTGACCTCGGGCATGCCCCTTACCCTCTCTGAGCCTACTTCCTTCTCCATTAAATGCATGTCATAATGAAGACTTCCAAATCGCACACAGCTACATAGTGCCCGCATTAGTTGGCCGTGTCAAGGACTGTGGGGATGCACAACCTGCGTATGTGAAACTGATGCATGCTCCAAGAATGCTGTCCCAGGACAGCGAGGCTTCCTGACAAGGCTGGAGGGGTCTGTCTCTCAGACCCGGTAACAGCAACTGCCGCACATGTCACACCTGCTGGTGGGGCCTCAGATTTCCAATAAGTGCTGAGAAGAAAACTCGTCAGCCACAGAGTGACCTTCCAAAATGGGGTCCTCTACAGCTCTTTGGTTTTTTTGAGACCCAGTCTTGCTCTGTCGCCCAGGCTGGAGTGCAGTGGTACGATCTCAGCTCACTGCAACCTCTACCTCCCAGGTTCAAGCAATTCTTCTGCCTCAGCCTCC